CTTCAGGTCTGGAATTGAACCCACACCTGTGGTTTCCAGCCAAACAAAAGACAGGCATATGAGTTGAACATTTACCTCAAGTAGATACACTCCATGGAGAGAACAAGCATGGGAGAAAGAAGAGCTGCTTATGCACAGGGAGATAGCTCGGGGCAGGAGTGCATGTAGGGATGGACACTGGGAAGAGGTAACTATGGGAAGGAAGTGGGAGGGACCTGTTGCATTGTGGTAAACTGTGGTCAATGTCATGAGACAAAGTATATGTGAACCGCTGTATGGAAAGTGAATTTGCTCTGTAAACCTTCACCCAAATCACAATTAAAAAAAAAAAAAAAATGTTTTGTATCATTCATTCGTTTGTCAAAATCATACAGTTAATACTTATTTCAATGCATGTAAATTATGCCTTAAAAAAAAACTGTAAATAATAATAGTACAGTGAGGGAGTGGGTAAGTGGATGGAGGTTAAGATAATACAGAATTGGCTAAACATTATTAATTGTTGATGTTGAGTGATTATACTGTTACACTTTTTTTAACTTTGATTTATTTGAAATTTTCCATAAGAAAAAAGTTTATTTTTTTAACTATTTTACATTAGAAAATTATATACACTGTTCAAAATAATTTTTAATTTTATTCATATGTGTTAAGTAGAGTAGTAGCGATAGTACTCATTTTTTCCTAACATTATCATCAAATAATTTGTAGGCACTTGGGCTTTTAGTATTTTTCTTATATGCTATTCACAACAAATTAGGAAGTTTAGACATTAAGCAGAGATACTCCTTTTGATACTCCTTTTGAAAAACACAAGAAAGTATAGAAGAATATTATAGAAAGTGAATTATTTATTAATAATTTAACTAATTTATCTACTTTACATGCTCATTCTCAGAGGCATTTAATTTCTGCTTAAGATGTTTTGGAAAAGAGAAGAACCTGTTGACCATAATTTTTATTTTATAAGGTTTTGTCTCTGGCCAAGGAACTCTTTCATAAGGAGGTTATGTCTTGAGAAGGGACAGAAACATTGAACAGAAAAGATTTAATTGTGTGCAGGTTTTTTTTTATTGTACTCTGACTTAAGAAATATTTTTCCAGTGCTCAGAGTCATCTACAGATGTGCACCGCTATCAAAAATACATCCTTCTGCAGTTCTCTTCCACCCCTACCTATTGAATGTAGTGAATTAGATGGAGATCTTAATTCATTACCTATAATCTTTGAAGATAGGTATTTAGATTCTGTTACTGAAGGTAAGTATAATGTAACTTAAAATATATCTGCCGTGTTTTTCATGTTTAGTATATACTTCCTAATATAAACAATACTGCTCCGTAATGTGGAACAGTTTTTTCCCTATCTAGTTTTATCTGTTTTTTAAGGATATTGGAAAGTTATAGTTAGAAAAATTGTCTTTTTTTTTCCCCTAAATTTTATTTTAATGTTATTAATAATATATACAGCAGAACATACACCACCAATTCAGCAGTTTCTCCATATTGATATTTATTATACTCTTCAAATTGTGCAACTGTTCTCACTCTCCTTTTCTGAGTTGTTCTTCCCCCATAAACATAAATTCACTGCCCTCTAAAGTTCCTTTCTAATCTTTTGAGTTGTTGTTGTCAATTTGATCCTATATAGATAATTCTTCAAAATGCATAATGGTTAAAGCAGACCTTTTTTACTGCTTAAGCTAAACTGTTGTTCCATTTTAAGACAAATTTCAGGGGATATTTTTGGTTTAAGTTTCAAAAATTATCTCTGGGCAATAGTTTCAAGGCTTCATCCACCCTCTGTGACTCCAGAAAGTCTAGAGTCCATGAGAATTTGAAATTCTGTTTTATTATCCCCCTTTTAATCAGGATTCTTCCGTGGAATCTTGGATTAAAATATTCAGTAATGGTAGCCAGGGACCATCCGTTTCTTCTGGTCTCATGACAAAAGAGGTATTTTTTCATGGAGGCAATTAGCCACCTATTCCTTATCCTTCTCATTTTCCTCTTCTTCCTGTGTTACTACAGGTGAACAGAGACCAAGTGTTGTGCCTTGGATGGCTACTTACAAGCTTTTAAGACCCCAGGCACTACACAATGAACTAGGAGGTAGAACAGAAGCACTAAACACATTATTAGGCAAATTAATTGGGATGTCCCATGATACCATGACCTTAAACTTCCAAACCAAGGAACCAAATCCCATGAGGTGTTTGGTTGTACATAAGCAGAAAAAAGTAATCTTGATCATGTGGGTTCTCACACCTTGTTTTAAACCTGAATCTCTTTTTCTTTGGATAAAAGACTTAGATGCACCCTGGATGGGAATTCAGAATCTTCAGAGATCAGAGTCCAATAGAATGGATAAATATGAGACTGAAGAAAGCTCTGTAGCTGGACTTTCTAGCCCAGAGTTGAAAGTCAGACCTGCTGATGCCTCCAATATTTGGTATACAGAAGGTGAAAAGCAGCTAACAAAATCTATAAAAGAAAAGAATGAAGAATCAAATAAATCCAAAGTTAAGGTTACTAAGCTTATAAAAACAATGAAACCTGAAAACACAAAAAAATTAATAAAACAGAACTCTAAGGATTCTGTGGTTTTGGTAGGCTACAAATGTTTGAAAAGTACAGCATCAAATGATCTCTCTAAATGCTTTGAAGGCAGTCCTTCACATAGTCAGAAAGAAGGTCTGGATCCCACAATATGTGGATATAATTTTGACCCAAAGACCTACATCAGACAGACAAGTCAAAAGGAAGCTAGCTATTGGCTAGCTAATACAGAGAGAACTGAACAAAAGTCTCCAGATATTGAAAATGTGCAGCCAGACCAATTTGATACTTTGAACTCTGGCAGCCTAAATCTTTGTGCAAATTTGTCCATTTCAGGTAAACTTGGTATCTCCCAAGATGATAGTGAACTTACACAAGTGGAGCACAATATGACATCCAGAAGTTCATCAGACGATTGCCATGATCACCAGACAGCCCCATCTTCAGGAGTTAGAACAATTGAAGTAAAACCCCATAATAAAGATCCTTTCAGGGGAGAAAAAGTAACTGTTAAAATAGGACCTTGGACAGAGCCACGACAAGATGAAATTTTTGTGGATAATTTACAGCTACCCAACACTGAGTCCCTAGACTCTAATGGTAAATCCAAATCGATGGAAATAACACTTGAAAAGGAAGTTTTACAGGAAACAAAGTGTCGTTCTATTGGAGACTCATTAGGTAAATTAAGAAGTAATCTACCTGCTTCTTCTACAAAAGAGTATCATGTTATAGTAAGTGGAGATACAATTAAGTTACCAGACATTAATACTACATATTCTTCATCTAGATTTTCAGATTCAGGTGTTGAAAGTGAACCAAGTTCTTTTGCAACACATCCAAATCCCGATGCAGTATTTGAAACTGTACAAGGGCAAGGTCTTTTCAATAATGAAAGATTATTTCCTCAGCTTTTGATGAAACCTGATTATAATGTAAAATTTTCATTAGAGAGTCATTGTACTGAGAGTACAAGTGCTTTAAGTGAAATACAGTCATCTTTGACCTCCATAAACTCTCTACCTTCTGATGATGAACTGTCACCTGATGAAAATTCTAAGAAATCTGTTGTACCTGAATGCCATCTAAGTGATAGCAAAACTGTATTAAATCTGGGAACAATTGATTTGCCAAAATATGATGACAGTAAAAAGTCAAGTATTATCTTGCAACAGCAGAGTGTTGTATTTTCAGGGCATTTGGACAATGAAGCTATAGCAATACATTCCTTAAATTCAAGCACTAAAGACTCTTTGCAATTTGTTTTTTCAGATGAAGATACTTCCAGTGATGTGAAAAGTAGTAACAGCTCCAAAACTAACCTGGACAGTATGAGTAAAGGCTCCCAGAGTCCTAATAAATCTCATAACTCTTCAGGGACAGCAATAACATTAAATTCAACATTGATTTGTTTAGGAGCTCCTTGTGTTGTTTCAGGTTCTGTTTCTACTAATACAGAAATTAATGAAGATAGAACTATGAAAAGAATAGACAGTGATGCATTAAATCTCAAACAAATATGTTCAGAAGCCTCTGTGGTTAAAACTGAAAGTTGTTTGGGTATAGGGGACCCTTTTTCAGCCAATATTGATGTGGTAAAGCAAGGGCTTGTAGAAAATTATTTTGGTTCTCAAAGGAGTACAGATATTTCTGACACATGTGCCATAAGCTACAGCAATTCCTTTAGCTCTCAGAAGGAAACTTTTGAAAAAGAAATTAGTAATCTTCAGCAGGAACAGAATAAAGAAGAGGAAGAGGAAGAACAGGATCAACAAATGGTTCAAAATGGGTATCATGAAGAAACAGATTATTCAGCTTTGGATGAAACAGTAAATGCTCACTATCCAAGCAGAGATGCACTAGGAGAAGAAAAACTTATAAAATCTGAAAAAATACATAATGAATATCTTAGGGATGGTATAAACATGCCTACTGTTTGTACATCTGGTTGTTTGTCCTTCCCATCTGCACCACGAGAGTCTCCTTGTAGTGTTAAATATTCTAAAAGTAAATTTGATGCCATTACAAAACAGCCAAGCAGCACTTCTTTCAACTTTACTTCATCATTTTCCTGGTATGAAAATTCACCAAAACCTCAAATACAAGCGTAAGTAATGGAGCAATAGTATACACTACTAAATACACACACACACACACACACACGTATGTACATATGTATCATCATCATCATAACTAGTATAAGTAATGCTGTAGGGATTGATGTCTATTTTGTTCTTTGGTCTCCATAATACAAAAACTTTTTTAGATTAGCTATCTAAAATGGAGACGTGGACACAGGATGCTCTGACAAATACACTTGTAGTTCCCGAATGTTTGTCCTGTTTTGTAGGCTAAATCAAAACCAAACCCATTACTGTCAAGTTGATTCCAACTCATAGTGACCCAGTAGGACAGAGTAGAACTGCCCATAGGGTTTCCAAGGCTGTAATCTTTAGGGGAGCAGACTAACACATCTTTCTCCCTTGGAACAGCTGGTGAATTCAAGCTGCTGACCTTTTAGTTGGCAACTGAGCACTTAAGCATTGTGCCACCAGCATTCCTGTTCTGTGGGCTAGACATTCCTAATTAGATAATTGATGTCAAACTCTTCTTCCATTTTTTTTTTTAACACCAGTAGCTTATTTCTCCCCCATTAACCCCAGAGAAAAGCTAAGTTTCTTAAGTATACCTGAATAAGGACAATATTAAACAATGAAGCAGGTTACTAGAAACTAAGCCTGCCTCATTTAAGCCAAGATTTTCCAGAACTGAAATTTCAGGAGCCTATAAAATACCACCACCCCCCGAAAAAAAATTGTGATGATGTAGAGTTACTATCGTGGTATTGACTCAAAATATTCCAATCCTCAGATTATTGTGATCCCTACATCTAAATAAGATCCATAGTACCAAGGCTATTGAAACTTGTGAGGAGATAATGACCTAGTAGAGAATATCAATTGAGAAAGTTGGTAGTTTTATCACCTTCAGAACCAAACCATTGCCATTAAGTCTATTCCGACTCATAGCGACTCCCATTGGGTTGCCAAGGCTGTTAACCTTTACCAAAGTAGCCTGCCTCATCTTTCTTCCATGGAGCATCTGGTGGATTTGAACTGCTGTCCTTTTGGTTAGCAGCTAAATGCTTTAACCCCTACATCAACAGAGCTCCTTTATATGACCTTCTAGGTACCTCAGAATGTTTCTAGGTCGTTAAGGAAACAATGGTGTACATGTCTTCACTTAGTATATCTTAATTAGTTTAGTGCTCATCAGCTTCCTTGAGTTTTACTTTTATCCATCTAAATGATATGTTAAATAACTAATCATTTTTATATGTGTAGTCACAAATTGGTTAAATTTGTCCCTCATTCTAAATAAGTATATGCTACTGATTATATTTAGTCACCTTCCCTTCTTAGTTCTGCTTCTTCTCAATAGTAGTTTAAAAGACAAAAAGACAAATACCGTAATCTACAAAAGGCCCTAAAAACCAAAAACCAAACTCACTGCCATCGAGTTGGTCCCAACTCACAGAGACCCCTCCTTGGGTTTCTGAAGCAGTATCTCTATGGAAGTAGATTGCCCAGTCTTCCTTCTGAGGAGTGGCTGGTAGGTTTGAACCACCAGCCTTCTGGTTAGCAGTCAAATGCCTTAGGCACTACAGCACAAGAGCTCCCACAAAAGGCCCTGGGTGGTGCAAATGGTTAACACACTCAGTTATTCACTGAAAGGTTGGAAGTTTGAGTCCACCCAAAGGTGTCTCTGAAGAAAAGCCTGGTGATCTACTTTGAGAAAAAAAAATCAGCCATTGAACACCCTACAGAGCATAGTTCCACTCTGACACACATGAGGTCTCCATGGGTCAGAATTTACTGGTTTTTACTAAAGGCTATAACTACCATTCTCATTGTTAAACCGTGCAGAATAGCTCCTTTCCTTCCATTTATGTAAGATTAAAAATGAACAAAGAAGATAGATTGATTGGATTAGAGGATAATCATCAGGTTGTCATTTCTCTAGTATTTTTCCCACTTTCTTCTCTATGCATACAATGTAAAATTATGCAGAAAGCCTAATACAGCTCCTAATATTTTCTTAGTTAACTTCATAATTAATGAATATTAAGTGATTTCAAGTTGAAAGTATTTGTTGTATTTGATCAGATAGCATACTAAAAACAGTAAAGAAAATTATACTGCTGTAGTATTTGAAACTTCCTTTGAATTTACCAGAAGTCAAATTTCTAAGTCAGTTAGGTGATTTCACATATTTTTATGATTTTGAAACCAAGTATTGCTGAGTTTCTCCCTCTGCTGTTCTCTAAATTCAGCAGATTGTCTTTTTAGTTCTGAAAACTGAGTATGATACTTCTTAAGGAATATCTTTTATAACTATTTTTCTTCAGTTTCCTTCAGGCAAAAGAAGAATTGAAGCAACTTAAACTTCCAGGGTTCATGTACAGTGATGTTCCTCTGCTGGCATCCTCAGTACCTTATTTTAGTGTGGAAGAAGAAGATGGTTCTGAAGATGGAGTACATCTTATTGTCTGTGTGCATGGTCTAGATGGTATGTGATTTCTATTGATATCGTAACAACTCATAAAAATAATATTGTTTATTTTTATAATAGATCTTACTTAGTCTCTCAAGGTAAAAATTTACTGACTTGAATTAATTCGTAAATACATTCTAAAATGGAAATGTGCTTAATTTTGCTAAGTATAATATTAGATTTCCTTTTTAAATAAATTACCGTGGAACTGACATCCACATGCCAATATTTTATTTATTACAACCATACTGTTTTCTGTCTTCCCTCTCATTGTTGGTCTTATCAATCATCACCTCATAACAATCATTTTTGTCTTAGTTGGATAATTTTTCTACTTGTTTTTTCAGCTTGCTGCTTAAACCTATAAACTAGAAAAAAACAATAATCTTAAAAATTAAAGTTTCACTAACTTGTTAAAATATAAATTAAATTATGAAAACCCATTGTCATCAGGTTGAGAACTGAACCATAGAATTTCCAAGGCTGTAAATCTTTACAGAAGCAGACTACCACATGTTTCTGCCACAGAGAAGCTGGTGAGCTCAAACCCCTGACCTTTCTTAGTTAGCAGCCAGGCACTTAACCACTGCACTACCAGGGCTCCTGAAGTATAAATATCTGGCTTTAATGCTTAGGTTCATGACCAGTATTTTGGTTATTCAATATGCATTTTTTCTAGACATAGGAACTATGCTAGAAGATGCTAGTTATCACTAGACTAGTAGGTGTTAAGTGTATTATGGGATTTTGTAACAGCAAACTGACAAAGGATTAAAGGTCTGTGCAGTAAATTCTCATGAAATTGAGATTTTAAAAAAAAAAATCTGTCAGGAAATGTAATACGTTCAATACCCACCATTCCTAAATTTTAGTATTTTCAAAGAATGATCCCCAAGAAAGACTTCTTGGCTCAGTGAAATCTGACAAATTTTTCTTTAAAGTTTTCAAGAAACAGAGTATTCCTATGTTAAAAAATTATTCCAGGGCAATAGAAGAAACAAGATGGAATGCAACCCATGTTATTCCTAAAAGTTAAACTAAATTTACTACCAAATTTGATAAAGATTTCACATCAGTACCCCAAAATACAATAGACCAATCTAACACAAATATACTTAATAAAATGCTAGCTGACAGAATCAAGATAGTAACATAAGTCATGGTAAAAAATAGGATTTAATCTCCAGAATGCAAAGACAAATTTATTAACAAAATATACTATATCAGAAAATCAAGTAAGAAACTGTTAATAAAATTCAGTATCTATTCCCAATTATTATAACAACTAAGAACAATACTTTAAACCTTACATAAGACTAGGCTGTTTCATAGTATGATTAAGCATATATTTTTGTAGTCCATGTTAAATTTATACTTAATACTAAAACACTAGAGGTGTTCCTTTTAAAATCAAGAATAAAAAAATAATCTGTCAGTGCATTAATTCACAAAATATCTAAAAAGTATAATGTGGACTTCCAATGAGATGAAGGAATAGGCAGACAAACGACACAGACCCTCTTTAACAAAGAAAAAAAACCAATTGACAGAGATACAGAAGATAATCCTGGAACCCTGAGCTTTGAAAGGAACTATACAGAAGTGGATTAGGCACCAACTAGTGAAAAACCTTAACAAAAACAGTGAGTACAGAGACTGTAGGAGCTGCGGACTGTCAGCCACTCTGACAAGACCAGCAGCATGAATATTTCCAAGTGGTGTCAGGACCTGAGAATTGACCTAAAGATCAGTCCCGGTCACCAAGGGCTGCAGGGACAACTGCTCTGGTGGCCTATGACTAGGAAGGGAAACAGCAAGGAGGGAGACAACCTGAGCTGTGGACTTTCTACTGTCTGGAGGGCGCAGCCATTTTGATTGTTT